CACAGTCGCCGCATCCAGCCAGGCTGGAAACCTCGGGATGACGGGAGGCACCATCAGAGACTCAAAACCCCTTCCACAGCCAGTCTGGTGACTGTGCCTTCTAGGTGTCTCTGGAATCCCTCCCTGGGCTACCTCCCAACATCCCCCTAGCCCTAGTCGAGACCTCAGCCTTTCCCACCTGGCTGCCTGCCCTCCCTGCCTCCACCGAGGCCCCTCAGCACCCATTCTCCATGATGGAACCACAGTGGTCCTCGCACAGCCAGAGGCTGACTGGGCTCCCACTGCCCAGTGCAAGCAGGCTCCCTAGCACAGCCTCAAGTGGCTCCCTCCCCTCCTCCCTCTGGAGCCACACTGGGCCCCACTGCTTTCAGTTCCCAAGCACAGGCCACCGCACACTCAGCCCCCTGCCCGGAGTGCTTCCCTACTCCGGCATGGGGGTGCAGACAGCAGCTCAGGCAAGCTTCCCTGCCTGGGATGTCCTGGCCTCTGCAGTGATCACCTGGGTGGTCCGGGTGGGTCACTTCTTGTTTGTCTGCTGCCCCATCTGTCTAGGAGCCCTTCAAGAGAGGGGGACCAGGTCTGACACACCTGTGACCTCTGGGCCCACAGCAGGTATCAGGAAAGTTTTGTTGATTGACTAAATAACCAGTGCCTCCCAGATAAGACTGGTGTGGGACTGCGGAGAGGGCACAGAGCTGGGGGTGCCAGCAGGGGCAGTGCAGGTTGTGCCTTCAACCCCTCGGCTTGAATAAATCACTTACTCTTCGTGGAGCTCCATCTGAAAGATGGAGGAGGTCAAATAAGCTCAACACAGCCTTCCAAAAGCAAGCTCACTATTGATGTGCAAGAGAAGTGACCGTCACTGTCTCCTTCAGAGTGCTGGGCTGGGAAGTTCCTCCAGGCATCTGACCTATATCCTTCTTGCTACAGAGAAGCTGATTCTGACACCGCGCTGCCTCCCACAGCAGCACAGTCCTCAGGGGGCCCGGGGTGGGGCCTGCCTGAGGACTGTCTTCTGTCCCACCAAGGCCTTAATTGGCAGCACGAGAGTAATGAGTCACGGACAACTACCAATTAATTATCCCCAGTTATAAAAAGCATTGCTTCCCCTTCCTAGATGCTGAGTGAGCCGGCCCCCTGTTGCCGGGGGCCCCTCCACGCCCTGCTGCAGCTGCCAGCAGCAGAATAGGTCATTCCACCTCTCCAGTCCTCAGTTTCCTGTTTCCTTATTTGACAAGTGTGGGCCCTGGGGGGAGGGGACAGTGTGAGCAAAGGCTTGGGGCAGGAAGGAAGGAGGCAGCTTGAGCTCGGATGGACAGACAGATAGCAGGAGGGGCTCCTCCTCAAGCTCCCCGCCTGCCCTCCACCCTTCACTGTCCCAGGACCCACCCAGGGCTGCAAGGCCAGATCCCAGCCCCGAAACACGGAGGGAGCGTCCCCAGTGTGCCCTGGAGACACTCCCCATCTTGTCCAAAACCCGCCTGGTCCAGTGCTCTTTCTCCTCCATCAGAATGCTTCCCGAGTCCTCCCTGCCCTTCCTTTCTTCTCCATCTTGCAAGCTCTCATGACAAAAATACTCAGACTCAAAATACATGAGTCCTCCCCGACAGCCTCCCTCTTCCTGAGGCTCTTGCTGCAGATCTGTGCCGACTCCAGGTGTGACATGACTTTGAGCCTTGATTGCTCTCTCCATGCAGGGGGCATAACCAAGAAACATGCCCCCAGGGGTGCTGTATCAGTCAACAGGGCGATGCATGTTAGCTGTGCGCTCCCCGAATACAACAGGTACTCAGTAAATGTGAACCGTTACCCTCACACACCATCTCTCAGCCTGCTGAGAGTGAAACGCTTCTGTGACTCACCGCTCCTCTGTCACCTCACTCCACAGATGAGGAGGCTCAGAGAGGCCAGCTTCACAGGAGAACTTGGCCCCAGGCTTCCCCTTGACTCAGAACTTCTCTGAGTTGGGAGATGCAGTGGGAGGGCTCCCCAAGAGGACCTCAGGGGAGGTAGTGCCTGGGCAGGGGCCGTGCAGGGCGTCCCTAAGTGAGGAGGACACGGCGGGGATGAAGAGAGGCACAGGCCTGCAGGTGGACTCCATCCCTTTGCCAAGCACGGCCTCTCCTCCACCCTCAGCGGCTCTCCTTTCCCCGCCCACCTGCTCCCAGAGCTCACTGGAGGGCCTCAGTTTGTTCAGCACCATGTACGACGGGGCACCTTCTCTGCACCAGCCCTGACTCTGAGACACCAGATGGCTGTTCCCTTCACTGCGTCAGGCCAGAGAGCCCAGCACCCCCTCACTGTCCTCACGCAGCTGTCTCCAAGGGACTAGGGAGAGAGAAAAGAGAGGAGAGAGAGTGAGACAAGGGCGAGCATGCTGAGGCTGGAGCCCAGGAAGTGGGAGGGGAAGCAGGTGGGGAGTGAGTGACAGGGAAGGGGAGGATGCTCCTCATCAGCTGGGAGTCTCAGGGTCACCTGAGGTGAGCTCAGCCCTTTCTGCAGAGGCCCTCCCCCCAGAGCTGCTGCAAAACCCCGTCCCCTTTCCCAGCAAGGCTGGCTTGTGGCCTCCTGAGGTCCTTCCTGCTTTTGCCGCCTACCTGGTACCTGGACGGACCTCAGCATGTGCAGAGCCTGCACAGCACAGGCTCCCAGGCAGCTCAAAACCGGCCTCAGCCCACCACTTCCTCCCCTCTGGGCGCTGCGCTGGCCACAGCCAGGGCCCATCACTTCCTGACCGCACAGCCGATGACTGGCTGGCTGGCCTGGGCCCACCGAGGGCTGTGAGTGCCCTGGGAGACACACCTTCCTCCAGAGTCGACTCCAACAGCCAAGGAACTTTGGCTCAGAAGTTCAGCCGTCCTTCTCTCCCTTCCTCAGCTTCAGTTTCCTCCCCACTCCGACCAAGAGCTGTTGGATCTACCCTGCCTGGGGACAGTTCTGAGTGCTACCCTTCACGGGCTGTGTGACCTGGGCCCAGTCACAGATGACCAGCTTCTGTTTCCCGATGTAAGATGGTGGCCATGACCCCTGGCTCAGGGGTGGGTGTCAGTGCTCGGCACAGTGCCAGGTGCGAGACACACGGGTGCAGGCTGCCTGCCGCCCCGCTGCCCCACTGCCCGCTGCTCCTGACACAGGGAGGCCCTGCTGCCGGCCCCGGTCTCGGGGGAGAACAAATAATGGAGCCTGGAGCAAAGCAGAGTGGCCAAGGAATTCTAGAGTCTTGACCCAGCCCCACTTGCACTGCAGAGACGGAGAGGCCGAGGCAGTGACTCAGGAGTGGCTGGTCTCAGTGACTGGTCACAGCAAGCACTGCTGGTCGCTTCCTGCCGCTGTCGCACGCCATCCGCCCCGCAGCTCCGTGAGAGTCAGGTGTGCTATCTCACAGGTGAGAAAGCTCAAAGTCAAGTACACACCGTGGACAAAAAGGGGCACTGTGACAAATCTAACCGAAAGTAACCTCGAGGGTGACCTGATCATGAATTCCCGTCTGGGCAGGACTTGCTGAGCAGGCCCCTCCGGCCGGTCACTACAGGCTGTCTTTGCCCTCAGCAAGCCCTGCCCACTGTTTCCGTGCAGCTTCGTTAACACACCTTTGCAGTGCCTCTCTGTCGGACCCCTGGGAAGCAGAGCTGACCTCCAGGGAGCCCCTAACCTTGTTAACTATCTTGTATCCGTGCCCTGCCCTGCTTTCTGCCACCTTCCTGGAATCTCTCCTCCTTACTCTCAAATGCATAAAAGAAACTGCAAAATGTCATTCTCCGGAGCATTTGAGACCTCGCTTCCCAGCACTGTCATCAGTTTGGCTCAATTAAAATCGCATTACAATCCTCTACAGGTTTGGACCTTTCTGACGTCAGCAGTCCCACTAGGAGAGGCTCAGTTTTGACCGTGAGGCCTGCCCGACCCTGACAGCACAGACTGCACTGCGGTGGGGGACCCCGCGTCCACATAAGATGGAAAAGCTGTTCCAGGCAGGCAGGGCCTGGGGCAGACAGACCAGGGCCTGCTCTGCCGCTGTGGACAGGCCCCTTCCTCTCCCTCGCTGAAGTTTGGCTTGTCGCCTCCTCTGTGCTGGGAGTGCGGACATGCCCACGAATCAGGCCAGGTTCCAGGCTCCTGTTTAGTCTAGCGCTCCGCCCCTCACTACCACAGGCAGAGCAGGAGATCGGACAGGGGACAGGCCCCCCCGCCCTTCCCCCTTGTCCAGGCAGCCCTGTGCCACCTGCCCTCTGACCTCAGCAGCCACCCCTACACTCGGCCACTCCTGCATGTTCGGGGGCCAGCTGCACTGGAGGCTGGCTTCTTCGTTCGGAAGAGCAGGGAAGAGGAAAGTTGTTTTTCAGGCAGCAAAGCTTTTAGATAAACACAATTTATCTCTCTCTCCATTTCTTCTTAAAGGAATTGGGTTCCTTCGGAAAAGAAACTAGATTCACCAGCGGACGGCGCCCAGGGACGAAGTGCTAGTCACAGTTTGGCCTGGGCCGCCGACACTGAAGGAGGCGTTCTTTATCCGGCTGGGCACCTGCCGCCGGCTCTGGCTCAGGTGGCCAGGTCCCTGTGCCAGGCCACAGCCCTGCCAGCTCCCAGGCTCCGGAGGGCCTGGCCCACCTCCTCACCCTCCCCTCCAGCCACCCTCCCTGCTCACCTGCCCGTCCTGATCTGCCAGGAGGCTGAGAGCCTCTGTGCACCTTGCGGTGACCACTTCCTCTTAGAGTGCCCCTCCTGGAGCGCCCCCCTCCCCCGCCCAGCCTCAGGGGCAGCCCGGCCCCCACACTGTCAGAGCAGAGTTAGCAACTGGCTACATCCACGACAGAACAGCCTCACCCACCTGGTCAGGTAGATTTAAGCACGACCACGGGCCTGCGTGACAGAGGGAGGACTGAAACCCAGAATGGGCACTGACTGTCCCAAGCCACAGAGCAGAGTGACAGAGCTGACACCCCTTCCCCCAGACGCTGAGGTGCCCTGGATCCCTGTGACCAGGCCCCACCTCGGCTCACCGGTGTGGTGTCGTCATGGGAACGCTGGTAGCGTTTCCAGCGGCAGCCGTAGATGCCCGTGAGGCAGGAGAGGCACAGCTGGGGCTCATAGTACTGCAGGGGCTGGTGTCTCACCATGCTCGTGCCCGAGGCCCTGGTGCCCGGCCCTCAGGAGCCCATGGGGGCCCCAGGCTGGTCCTGTGGGAGAAAGCACAGGGCTGTGAGACAGGGGACAGTGGGGGATCGGCCCCAGACACAGCCAAAGTCTTTGCAGCCCAGGTCAGGGCGGGCCAGCCTCTGCATAAACCCCTGCAGGGGGCCCAGGCCTGCCTGGAGTCAGAGGCCCATACCTTCAGGTCTCCTGGAATGCCACCCACCCCCGATCTTATCCACACACTCGCCCCCTCCCCCCAGCCACCCTCGCCCAGCACAATGCTGCTTCTTCCTCTGCGTGCAAGGCTCCCCCTTAGAACTGCCCCAGGTCACCTTCTGCAAAACTGCAACTGCTTCCCATCCTCTCTCAACCATTCTCAGCCTTATTTTCTCAATCGTGTTCCCAAATATACTTTACTTATTTTGTGTCTTGTCTACCTATCCCACTCTGATGTTAGTTTCAGAGAGGCAAGGATTTTGTCTGTTTTCTCCTCTGCTGTATCCCCAGGACCTAGAACAGTGCCTAGCACACAGTGTCCGTGAGGACACTTTATATCCATTGTTCCATCGCACTGTCACAGGGGGCAGGTGCAGTACCCCAAACCCATTGGACAGGTGAACACACTGAGGCCCCACGAGAGACAGGGGCAGTGCTGGCCTTGGACACCAGCTGGATGTGGGCCATCTGGGACTCTGCTCTAATGCCCAGATGTGTTCATTCCTTCAGGCTCAGGGAGCCCGGCCCAGTGGGGCCGTGGCAGGTTGGTAGAGCAATGGGAGGTGTCTTGTGGGTTGAGTTGAGTCCCCAGGAGCAGCGGCCCCAGCCCTGCTTGGGGCCCTGGAGACACCTGCTGGGGCTCTGAGGTGGCCGCATTTGGCCAGTGGCCATTGGCTTGGCCACCTCACCCACCCTGATGTCAGGCATCATCTGGTCCTCAGCACCACTGTTACTACTGCCCCATTTCACAGATGAGGTGAGATATAATTCGCACACCATAAAACTCACTCCTTTAAAGTGCACAATTCAGTATTTGGCATACTGGGTTTTTAGGGAAGTCACTGAGTTGTACAAACACCCCCATTTTCTAATTCCAAAGCATTTTCATCATCCCAAGAAAAGCTCCACTCTCAGCTGCAGCCGCCTCCACGCTCTGTCGCCCCCATTCCCGCCCTCAGGCCCTGACCACCACTAATTTACTTTATGTCTCGATTTATGTGCCTAGTCCGGACATTTCACATAACAGGAATCACACAATGTACGGCCTTCCGTGACTGGCTCCTCTTACTTAACGCAATGTCTCTGAGGTCTACCCGTCTTGCAGCATAAATCAGCACCGCGTCCTCTTACAGAGCTGAACTGTTCAGTGGTGCGGACCGACCGTTTTCCCCGCTCACCAGTTGATGAGCATTTGCGTTGCTACCCCTTTCTGGCTGTTGCGAGTAACACCGCTGTGGACAAGTTTCTGTGTGAACATCTGTTTCCATTCCCCTTGGGTCCGCACTTTGGAACGGAGCTGCTGGGTCATGCAGTTTGACCCTTTGAAGAACTGCCAAAAGCCGTCTCCTGAAGCAGCCGCACCCGCACCATTTCCCAGGCCCTACGCATTATCATCACTGCCCCCTTTCATAGGCGAGAAGTCTGAAGCACAGAGAGGCTGGGCCACTCGCTGTGGGTGACCCAGCAGAGACAGGCAGTCTAACTCCAGCAGCCTTGCGCTAACCTGGGGTTGGCAAATAGGCTTAACTCAGGGGCCGTATCTGGCCAGCCACCTATTTTTGTATAGCCCACAGGCTAAGAATGGGGAAAAATCAAAACAAGAACACATTTGTGACACATGAAAATTACATGAGGGTCAGATGTCAGTGGGTCCATGAACAAAGCTTCACGGATGCAGCCAAGCTCATCGGGCCTGTACTGTCTGCGGCAGCTCCAGCTGCAGCTGCAGAGCTGAGCATCTGCGACAGGACCCACACGCCCCGAGGCCTACAGTGCTCACCGCCCCTTGAGAGGGAGAGTTCTCGGGCACCTGCAACCACTGGGCTACAATGGCTCATAAGCGCAGTGCACAGTAGAGTGAGTAAAGGGAGGCTGTGGGCACTTAAGGAGGGGCAGAGAGGGTCAGGGAAGGCTTCCTGGAGGCCGCGCTGAGCTGAGGCATCCGAGGTGAGCTCCCAAGATGCCTCCTTCCAAATGCCAGGGGGCAGCACCACAGGAGCAGCTGGAGCTCCAGGCCCACCCACCACTTCTGTCTCTGGGCCTCAGGCAGGGCCTCCGCCTCCCCCCACCCACCCTCATCACCGCCCAGTGCTAACCTCGGCACAGGGATCACAGCCCCAGTCCGAGGAGAGAGATGCATTAGGAGCTTGCTGGGAATATCGACTGACCCAGTGTCTCCTAATTGTTGGGAACTGTCTGCTGCAGTCTCTGGGCCGTGTTTCCCCAGGGAGCCATGTGGAATATGGTGCAGCTGCCGGGGAATCTCTGAGTCAAGCCAGGCCCAGGATGTGGAGGGCAGTAAGGGATGCGGATACTGTTGCGGTCGGCCAGGCTCCCGTGGGGTGGGGAGGCCTGGGGAGTAGAAGGGGGGATGCTCTCAGCTGTGTTCAGCCAGATCTGACCCTGTGCACCCCCAGATTAAGGCTTCTGCTGTCAGGTCGACCATCACATCCGCCCCCACCTCCCCAGGAAGGGAGGAGGCAGCTGACATGTAGAAAGAGGCCTGGATTCATCCTGTGTCAGCCACTGACTTGCTCTGTGGCTGAGGCCTCTCGGGGCTCCTCCCTGAGCCTTGCTTTCTGAACCTGTAAAATGGGATAACAGCCTTTGCCTGGACTTCGGTAGGAGACCAGGTTATGGGGGAGGGGCGCCAGGAGGGTGCATGGCTGCAGTGACTGAGGTACTGCAGGTGGGCACTCTATCAGCAGAAGCCCACGCCCAGGTTCCCCTGCCCTCACATTCCTTTCCCAGGACCCCCAGTCCTGAGACTGGTTCCCACGTGTCCTCTGCCTTTCCCCACCGCCACGACTGAGCAATACAATCCCTAGGAATGGAAATTCCACTTCAAATCTGGAAAAGAGGGAAGTAGAACTGCCTGCCCTGGGCCTCAGCCCAGTGCTCAGCTGATTTTGGCTCTTGCAGCGGCCTCTCCCGAGGTAGATTTTCACACTATCCATAAGGTCAGGGGTATCTGTGGGAGGCAAGCCCCGTCTCTCCTGTTGCTATTCTCCTGGGGTCATCTCGTCCACTCCCAAGGCTTCAGTTACCGGGCACGGCCAAGGCCACCCAATCTCTGCCTCTCCATCAAGACAGCAGGCTCCCAGCTGTCTCTGGGGGTGTCGCCCAGGTCCCGTGGACCCAGCACCGCCACACTGACCTCCTCACCACCCCAACCTGCCTCTCGTAGCCCTCAAAGCCCTTTGTCACCGTTCCCTTGACTACTGCCCTAGGGGCGGGGGTGTTATGCCCACCACCCCAAGCTCTGTCCTGCAGCCAGCACAAGCTTTTTAACAGGCACGCGACCAGGATCTGGCCCCTCCAGCTCCTCCAGCCTCGCCACTCCAGAACTTGCCATCCCTCCATCTGATCAACACCCCCTGACCCTTCGAATCTCAGCTCAGGTGTTACCTCCTCCAGGGAGCCTGCCCTGGGCCCCAGGTTCAGTCAGAGCCCTCCTCAGGCTCCTGCAGCCCTGGGCGTCCCTGATCCTGGGCGCCCGTGTGAATAGTGTGGGGGTGTCCGTCTCCCCCAGGGGATGGTCTGAGTTTCTCCTATATCCCCAGTGGCCAGCACAGGGCAGCAAGAGGACGAGGCCCTGGGGTTTCCTGGACTGCACAGCTGGGGAGGCCTGGGAGTTCTACCAGGATGTGCTGCTCAGACCCTGGGCCTTTGGACGAGCTCCCAGAGACCAGCTCTCCCGCTCCCTTCCCTCCCGTCCCGCCAGGGCAATGGCATTACTTAGGTTCAGTTGATTTCTCCAGGTTACCTCCCAGGGTTTCAGCCAAGTTCTCAAGAAATCCCCCGCCTGGAGCCCCCACTGGCTCTGGGACAGGAGGAAGCCCCAACCTCCGATCCTGATGTTTGAGGCCCCCTCAGCCCAAAGTCCCATTGTCTGTCTGGATTTTTGGCCCCTGCCCTGCATTCCTGTTTGCTCAGGGAAGGGCCTTCCCCGAGCCAGGCCTGAGATGCTGCCAGGGCCCACTGCAAAGCTGCAGGGTCCTCTCCCACCCTGGTGTCCTGGGAAGGCACCCAACCCACTGCTCTCCTGCTCCTCCCTCCCAGGACCCCCAGACGGCCGGGCCCTCACTGGCCCCAGGTCCTGCTGCCTGTGGCCCCAAGTCCCCTCTCTTTCCTGAGAGTGGAAGGACTCTCAGGCCAGGTGTCAGTGCCCAGGTTCCAGCCTAGTCGCCTTCAACTGACTTGCTGTGTGACTTCAGACAAGTCACTAGCTCTCTCTGAGATTACTTTACCCATCTGAGAAATGGGAACTAGGTGGAATAACAAATAAAAGAACCCCAGGCTGCAAAAAAAGGAATAAAACATTCATCTGTGCCACAACATGAAAGAATCTTAAAAACAGTGTGCTGAGCGAAAGAAGCAAGTTATAGAACATGGCGTGGGGCTTGCTGGGCCCGCGCTGGGCACTGCACCTGTGTCCCCTGCTGGAGGCAGCCTCCCGAGTAGAGCTTAGAGACTTCTGTTGCAGATTAGAGCCGTGGGCCCCAGGCGAATGGGCGAACGAACTGTGGCCCACCCAGATAATGGGACATTACTCAGCGATAAAAAGAAATGCACGACCAAGCCACAAAAAGACATGAAGCGACTTTAAAAGCATGACACTAAGTGATAGGAGCCAATCTGAAAAGGCTACAGACTGCATGATTCAACTACATGACATTCTGCAAAAGGCAAAACCGTAGCAGCATTAAAAAGATCAGTGGTTGCCAGGGACTGGGGGTGGGGAGCATAGGGGGCTTTCAGGACAGGGAAACTGTTCTCTGTGACACCGTAGTGATGCGCCCATGTCATTACACATTTATCAACCCCC